GAGGTTAGCACAGAACCATGTTTGTGCTGCAAGCTGCAGCTGAGGGAGGCGGTACGTTTGGTCTGTCCTTAAAAACGTGCTGATCTACAAGCTGATATGGATCATTATAGCTGCAGATCCGTCTGTCTCGCTCCCTCTGCGCCTCACAGCATCCACGTGCTCATGTTTGTGCTGCTCAGACTGCTGTGCTAATAAAAACACAGCCAGACAGAAGTGTAGCAGCGTCTTCATCAAACACAGCTCTTTGCAGGAGACTACAGTGTAACACGACACCGGTACAAGAGTCAGACGTCACTTCCTGTTCTGTAACACCCAAACTAGAGACACAAGAAGAAAGGACAAGAAAGTGCTGCATGAGTCTATACGTGAGAATCATCTACACAGATGTTTAGGAACGTGTCATCCAACAGCTGCACGGTGGGAGCCGAGGAAAAGGATCCATCCACGGCATGTTTGTCCCACAGTGGGGATTTAGATTTGTCTGTCATCATTTTATTCTGATTGATTTATTTGTGAGTGTAGTTTTTATTTGCATGAAACTATTCTGATGTTTTTACATCGTTTTAACCCACTGTGGACTGTCTGGGCTTGGTGTGGGCGTGTCCTATCAGCGGGTGAAAGGGCCTGTTTAAAGCTGGCTGAGCAGTGAGGGAGGCCCTGATATGAAGGGAAGGAACGCGCAGAAGGGAAACAGTGCGCTGCCCTCCCGTCAGGGGCGTAGCACAGCTGCACCTCCGCCTGCATTTGTGAGCAGCGTCTCCACTGTTGTTCACCGGGTGCAGCCGTGTTGGGAGAGGATCGCCATGGCTATAACCAGGCCAGATTCCCAGACGATGTTTCTCTGCTCGCAGGGCGATGCCACGCGAGAAGACGCCACGCGGGAAGACGCTGTGGCAGCGAGCGTGCGGCTCAAGGGCGGAGCATAAGTTGGGCTGTGATGGGACGAGACTGAGATGGGAGGCTTCTCCTCGTCCTCCTGGGACGGCCTGGTGCGGTCGCTGCTCCGAAGAGAAATGACTCCCCTGGTTTCAAAAATGAAGAAGATTCGTTCTGGGTTGTGGGAGCAGTTGCATCGTGGGACTGAGCGTTGTTTTAACGTACAAAGACGTTTTGTTAGAATTGTGTTGATGTATTCATGTGTTTGTTGTTTTCAGGATTGTTTGGTTCTTGTTTTGTGGCCTGTGAATAAACCGTGAGCGAGTCGTCCTGTAGCGTCTCTGTGCCCGTCTTTAAAACAAGAACCACCGTGGTGTGACGCTCAGGTGCACCAGCTTCAGTGTCTGTTCACGTGTGCTCTGTGGGAGGACACACCACTGAGGTCTAACAGTAACTCATGTTGTGACAACATGTGGCTGTAAACACAAAGACCTGCAAATAGACAACAGCGCGCACACATGCAAAAGAGATCCCTGTGATTTCCATCTGTTTTCACTACTGCAGTGAGCCTCACTGGTCCACTGTAGCTGCAGCAGCTCTTACCCTGTAGTATCTGAAGTAGTCTCTCTCTGTCAGCTTCCTGATGCGAGGGTGGAGCTTGAAGTTGTTGAAAATGTCGATGCTTTCGACGTCACAGAAGCAGTCGTCCAGGACGCCTGTGAGCTGGAGCAGAGCAGGACACTTCGTTTACTAACGACACCTCATCTCTAAATAACAGTGTCAGCGTTTCCACTCATCATAAATAATCATGATGTCATCTCAGGTGGTTTAAGTGAAGCTGTGTGCTAGAAACACACGACAGACGCGTGGACTCAAACCTGACAACGTCACGCAGCACAAGTCGAAGTCTGCACCCTGAAGTTTGTACTAAACTCTGACCATCAGACGTGGCAGCCTCAGTTCTGCCATGGATGAGATTGAGGCTACGCCCACACTAGATTTGAAAACGCTCCACGCCCACACTAGAGTTTTCAGTGGTTTTCACAGAGGTGTGCGTCCACACTGAAACGGATGAAAACGCTGACGTTCCAGTCCTGCGCAAACGCGAGTGAGAATTAAAGAGTTTGAAGGAGAGCTATAAGAACAAACGGATATTCGTCTTTTTCAGGGCGACTGCTGTATGACGCCCTCCACTATCTTAGCTTAATTGGTCACATGACTGCATCACATGACTAAAATGCGACATCGGTTTAGAAAGTCTGTGTTTTCGAGTGTCCACACTGCGACGGGACAGCTCCCTTTTGAAATGCGTGCATTTTCGAGAGCGTTTTCAAATCGCTGTGTTTTCCCACGAGGAAAACGGCGTCTCAGTGTTGACGGGACGCCAAAACGTTTTCGTTTGAAAACACATGTGTGGACGTAGCCTGAGAGCACTTCAAAGGTCAG